TGAAATACATTTCACAGTAAAAATTATGAATATTTGAGTGATATAAGCATCTGTACTAATGTATGTATTGACATTATTTATTAAAAATTATAAATTTTGGTAAAAGTTTTAGAAACTCGGAAAAGCTTAATCTTTCTCTTCTTATGTTACTTTGTAATGAGGCATTTAATCAACATGTAAGAATTTGGAGGAATTCTATCACAATTGTTTGTTTACTTATTACAACTTCTGATTCATATTACATTTCTAGTTGTTTCTATAATAATAACTTCATTATATTAATTTCAAATCATTTATTCATTTTATTAAGTATAAAATATCAGAAACTAAATATAATTTTTAAAATAAAAATAAAATAAGGCTTTAATATTTAACAATAATATAGAGTAAAAATTAATTTCGACCGACAATTTTTAGACTCATACATAATTGTTACTGTTTTATTATAGTGATTTCCATCATTGTTTGAGTATATTGGGTGTGGGAAAAAGTTCGTGGCGTTTTTCCCGCTAGATGACATTAAATGCTCAGCAGTCGGCAACTACTAATCGCATCGGCAACACTAGATGTGCGTTTAAAAAGTGAGTTTTAACCTTTGTTTTGAGCCGAAAAAGATTGAAATCGGTGAAGTGGACCAAAAGTTATTTTATTTTGAAAATGGAAATAAATAAGGAAAAAATTCGCTACATTTTGCAGTATCACTATGATAAAGACAAGAATGCTGCACAGGCTTGTAAAAAAATTTGCGCTATTTACGGTGAAGATACTCTATCAAAATCAGCAGCACGGAAATGGTTTGCTCGCTTTTGTGCTGAAAATTTGATGTGACGTTGTCGGTCGACCAATCACTGAAAAGTCCGATGAAATGGTAAAAGTCGAGCGTGATAAGCATGAGCACTGTGGAAATTGCCAGGGAACTAGGTACCGATTATAAAACAGTTTTAAATCATTTACACAAAGCTGGATACAAAAAAAAGTTCGATGTTTGGGTTCCTCATGAGTTGAGTGTTAGGAACATGATGGATCGAATTAACATGTGATACGCTACTAAAACGGAATGAAATTGAGCCTTTCTGAAGAGAATGATAATTGAAAAATGGATCACTCACGATAATCCAACTAAAAAAAGATCGTGGATAAAGAAAGAAGAGAAGGCGCAAGCAATCGCAAAATCTAGATTGACGAGGAAGAAGATGATGTTGAGTATGTGGTGAGACTGGAAGGGAATCGTTCACTATGAGCTGTTATTGTCCAATCAAACAATTAATTCCGAACTCTACTGTGAACAACTGCAGAGATTACAACAAGCAATTGAGAGAAAGCGGCCAGAATTAATCAATAGGAGAGGTGTCGTCTTCCATCCCGACAACGCTCGACCACACACATCTTTGATGACTCGGCAAAAATTGCGAGAGCTTGGCTGGGAAGTTTTAATGCATCCACCGTATAGTCCTGACATAGCACCCCTCAGACTATCATTTGTTTAGGTCTCTGCAGAACTCTTAATGGTGTAAAGCTAGCTTCAAAAGAAGCCTGTGAATCACTTGAAGAATTTTTCGATCAGAAACCACAGAAATTCTATCGTGATGGAATTATGGCTCTGCCCCAAAAATGGCAAAATATTATAGAAAATAATGGAGCATATTTGGTTTAAATAAATTGATTTCAATACTCTAAGAAAAACATTTTAATTTTAAATAAATTTTAAATTAATTTTAACTAAAAAATCGCCACGAATTTTCCCATATCCAATATATCGAACTAGATATTATAGACGGGGAGAACAATGTTGTTATCGATGCTTTATATGTAATTTCTGTTCAATTATTTTTAAAATTTGACAATTTTACATTTATAATCCGTTTCTGCGCCTTACATTTGAAGAGGACACAATTGTGTTGTCGAAACGTCTGTAATTTTCATTGAAAATATTATTTTTTCAAAACATCTTGTGACGGCTCATTAGCAATCTTTTATTCTATATGATAATTTCTAAAATTGCACATTAAATTCATGTATCAAAGTATTATAGTAGGTGCAAATCCACAGTATAACCAGTAGAGACATTCAGCGAAAAAATGCGTGTTCGCGCAGGTATGGCTGCGCAGCTTTTGTTTTGGGCCGGATCCAATAAAATGCAAGATGACAAGAAGGTATTATACCTTTCCCGTGTGAGCAAACATGGCAAAAGAATTTAAGAGCTGCGCCGTAAATATTTCTAAAAAATGGATAAAAAAAAGAAAAGTTATGTTACGTGCAGTATTAAACAATGCAGTAATAATAGTAAAAATTCACAATGCACTTTTTTCGTTATCCCAAAAAGATATCGTAAGATAAAGATATCGTAAGATTTTTATGATTTACAAAAAGTAAGTAGCTTATGCTAGGTTAACTTCATTAAACATAATCAAATGTAATTTTAAGAAAAAAGATAATATTTTTACATTGATTATGTTACATTTACATGGCATCCTTAATTATGTTTTTTAGAGCAAAGCAAATGGACTATCGCATGGAGCATTATATCCTCTTTTGATCCTGGATTTTTCAAACGTTAACATGGCGGATGCTACACTCGTACATCTCGATTCTTCGTTCGTATGCATGACGATGACCGAAACGACGCTACGTCATATGTTTGACTTTGATAAGTGTTTCAATTTAACATTCGAACGATTAGCCCGATTCGTCAATACGATTGATATCAAGTATACGCAATTCTCCAATATCGCGTATCTGAGAATGCTATACGCGATAGCGACATCTTCAATGGACAGCAGCTTGTCGATTGCGAGCTGTTAACTTTAGTTTTTAGTATGTACAAAAACTCAGTGTAATAAGATGTTTAAAAATAAAAGTTTTCGTTTGCATCACTACATATGTACTTTCGTTTACTTTTACTTTCTCCATCATTTACCTCGAAGCACTTATAAAATCATATTGAAAAAACTGCGGCATAAAAAAAGGACTTTTACTCTATTGATTCATTTCTTCTTCTATTGATCATTTTTTCGATATCACGTCACTCCGATATCATCGTGCTCTATCTTTTTCTAACATGCGAGCCATTATTACCTATGCATTTTTTGTGGCATCTAGAGTTCTATAATTCTCTGGTCTGCAAACATTATGATCTCAAGTGTTTGATATGCAGCGCAAATGTAAATGTATTCTAAATAGCCTTGCTATGGCAGAGGATGCTTTTCAGCATCAGTCTTTGCTGAATTTCATCTGCGCGAACATATTGAACATAGTGAAGAGTTTGTATCGCGAGTAATTTTTATAAACGTGCACAAGTATTCTACCATTTAGCATTAAAGGTAGAATATTTTTGCACATTTATGCGATTAAGTGAAAGTGGGAGTAATGGTTTTTTGTGATTTTTTTAGAAAAAATTTGGTTGACTTTTTTTTCCCAGAATATTTGTATAACAACAACAACGATGGCGATAAGTAATTTGCAGGATTTAATAGAAGTTACGAATGTCCCGTTACGAGTATCCCATTGAGGGAATAAGTAGTTTTTCCTTTTTTTATTTATATCAAATTTTTTCAGTGAATTTGTATTTCTAACGTTTTGTTACTTTTCTTTTTCCGGTATCTTAAGGTCGAGGACGATCCTGTGGTCAGACTGCAGTTGTGGAACAAGTTGCGGAACAAGTTGGGGGTACTGATGATCTTTTCGGTAAATTCATTATAAATAATAAATAGATTATTTTCTAATTCACTTTTTCTAATTTATTTTTTATAATACATTTTTCAGGATGTATCTTGTTACAATATAAAAATTAAAGGGTTTATGAACTTCTTTATTACCCAAATGATTCGTCAGACAAACGGCGGGACCGAAAGAGTGGATACGTGGGAGGAATCCGATTTTAATTTAGCCAAACTATTTGATCTCTGGTCTCATATAAGCCTGATCCAGAGCCTGAGGATTAGAATTATATATGTGCATTTTTCTTCTTATATATATATACATTATATTGGATTGTTCAAAAAGTTATTGCGTTTTTTTCATTTGATTTTCAGGTACGTTTATTTAATATACGTAATGAACATTAATCAATGATATATTGGCCATTTTGTTCGATGACCTGCCATCTCCCGGGCAACTTCATAATATCATGTTCATAAAACTTCCCATCCTTCTCTGCGAGAAACTTATCTAAGTGCTGTTTGATGAGGTCTTCAGAAGCAAACATTTTATTCAAGGAGTTTTGCAAGGAGCAAAAGAGATGGAAGTCTGATGGTGCAAGATCTGAGCTATACGGTGGATGTGGTAAATTCATCCCAATCATGTTGCAACAATTTTTGCCGAGTGACCAAACTTGAGTGTGGCATTGTCTCGCATTGTCGTGGTGAAACATCACACCACTTTTACGATTGATTAGCTCGGGACGTTTCTGCGATGGCATCACTTAATTTCTGCTGCTCACAGTAGACATCGGAATTAATCGTTTTGGAAGTAGCTTATAGAAGACTAGTACCTTCCAATCCTACCCATTGACAGCATTATCTTCTTTTGTGGATCTCCGCCTTTGCTTGTCTTTCCGGTGTTTCACCTCGCCTACTTCAACTTCTTTTTCGTCTGACATTGTTGTAAATAATCCATTTTTCGTCGCTCATGATCATACACTTCAAGAATGAATCGTTTTCTTCGCGTTTGATGAATTGATCGCAGACGCTCATGCAATTCGTCAGATGAATTTCTTTCAACTTATACCCAAACATCGAGTTTCAAATGGCCATGAACACTTCTAACGGATACTTTTAGAGCGGTAACAAGCTTCCGAACCGTTGAATGCTTATTTGCTTGCACCAATGCTTTCATTTCATCATCATTAATCTTGGAAGGCCTACCGGAGCGATGAACGTCTTTGACTGAAAAGTCATCATCA